CAGATTATCCAGCTCATCTGATCGTTCCCTATTCCGGGTCTTGTTCCACATCTTACATTTGTCCGCATGCTTGAGTTTGGGTTTGCATGGGTAATCGTGCTTGTAGCATATGACTTTCACGTACCTCCTCTCGTATCTTCTGTTCAGACTGTTTCCTGGTGCACCATTCATCTAGTGCAGTACCTTGAAGGCCTTTCCATTCAGCTAGATACTGACGCAACGTATCTTTATTTACGATGTAGGCCACGCCACGATCTATAACGACAGTAAAAGATTATTGACCCAGCCACATAAACAAACTTACCGTTTAAGATCATTTCAGACGGCATCACATTGTCTGGGAAGTCGTTCGGATAATGTTCAAAACTGACAACATACATGTCAATGGAGTGTTAGAATACAGGGAAAAGACAAAACAGCATACTGTTCTGCAAAGCAATTCTTGCAAGCTTTTGTTCTCGATCCCCACAGGATTGTCCCTGGACTAACATAAGCCTTCAGGCAGAACTAGACGAGTACATCAGGACAGATGAAACCAAGAATCAATGCACACGACAAACCTGGCAATATGGGTAGAATGCCAGATTCGCATATGCCGGTTCGCTCATGTCGATCGGACATTCTGGAAGACCAGGAATGCGGGCCCGAGCGTTCTTCCATATATATGTGGAAGAACGACGCATAAGTATCTTTCTCAGTGATTTCGATACCCGAGAAAGGCTTAAAATGTCTATCGGATCAAGTTGCAAAAAAATCTGCACAAGGTGACTTGTCAGAGTCATGGACGATTACGACCAGATCAGTTAACCGAGTCACCTCGTAAAGAATATCAAGAGGCATCCGAGATATTTCTTCTAATTGACCACGCCTTCCTTTGACCCGCCTGAGTCTGGAACTTTCAGTGGATTTCTCGACCTTTGAGCCTTTTTTGGACGCGACATCAGAGAGAGTAGCAACTTTGTCGACATCGTGATCGTCGATATTTATATTTACACTGCCATCTCGTCCTGCAGCTGAACGTAAACGTTTTGAACGCCGTTTCATGGGTGATAGCACCAGCTGCGGGTTTGTTGTGCAGAAAGAACCTTTGAATTCACGAATGGTGTTTTCGCTCACTGCCTTATATCTGGGCTAGCTGTCACCTGATGAGTCACAAGAAGTGACCGCGTCAACCCCTCTCGAATTGCAACGGAACCCTTGATATCTAAGTAAAAGTTGTAAATTCTCAACACTGTTTGATAGAAATCATAACTTGGCTTACATACCGACCTGCGACCCACTCATCGCGCGTATCAGATATGATATCATGTATCCCCGTTGAGATCCTAAGTTGAACCTCACCCAACGTCAGCCATTGCATCTTCAAACACCATTTCTGTTCCCCAAACATAAAGTACGCGTACACATTGAAGAAAATCTGACTTCTTATGTACGTATCAGCAATATAATCATAAATTCGCGCTGTGAAACCAAGCTGTAAGGGCCTATGAGATAAGTAGTAGTAGTACTGAGACAAATATCTTCCTCATTCCAAACACCCCGCTAACTCTATTGATAACCCTCTCTCATAGGCTAGACTTCGGTGGAAACAGTTACAGTGGACCAGAACAGCTGTAGACAAAGTACACATGAATCCACTAGTATTTGGAAGAAACTTTCAAGTCAATTTTTAGGAGTGGAGAGTATGTATGTATGTATGCATGCATGGTACGGGAATGGGGATTTCTCGAACATTTCCCTGAGTGTATCACCCCCCTGATGAGTGTACATGTCTAGTAAGTAACAGTCACACTCGCCTTTACTATGTCTGAGCCCTTACAAGCTCAGTAAAGTGGGATACATAGGATAGTGATAAGTAATATACCAACTGTCCCTGGTCCATCCAAACCACAATTAAGTCGATGGGTAATATACATCGAGTCCGCCAGCCAGTAGAACTTGATGTAGTCAGGCCGTTGAAAATCTAATCACAGTGTTGAACACCCATATCAATATCATCACACCAACCCAACCCAACCACAAACCACAAACCCCAAAAACACATCTACAACGTGTACCTACAACAACGACAACAACAAATCACAGACGAACCACAAAAAAAACTACAACCCTAACGAGTTATCAAGAACACAAAGGACAAAAGGGGGCGATAAGCTTAAGACGGAAGTGATGGAATTACAACAATGACAAGTCGAGCGACCGTATATATGTATGTATGTATATGTATATGTATGGGTACACTGGCTATGGCACAAAATCGGAGGGATAAGAAGGAAAGACGGAAGGGGAATGAAGGAAGGAAGGAAGGAGATAAATAGTGAGTACCAGGTAAGAATAGGGTGGTGTAGTGTATTGTAAGTGTATCGTATACATACTCGTGTTGTTGTTGTTGTTGTTGTTTCTTCTTCTTTTTCGTTGTTTTTGGTGGGGTCATTGTGGTGTGTAAGAAAGGGCGAGGAAGGATGTGGCGCATGTGGAGACGATTGCAATTGGTAGACTCCAAGACTTCAAGCAGAGCAGGGCGGCAGGAACGACCGCGAATCAAACAACCTCCCTCCTCGCGACGTCCCCAATCCCCTCCTGATCAACCAACCACCCATCCGTCTCGATCTCTTCTTCGGCCTCTCTAAGCGCCTCCTCAAGCTCTTCTTCGCCCATCTCTTCTTCTTCTTCTCCTTCCTCCTCGGGCTCGGGCTCAGGCTCAGGCTCTGCATGTTGGTCTTCTCCTTTGTCTATTCCCGCACCCGCACCCGTCCCACCCGCGCCCATATCCATCCACCCATCCCCCCATAACTCCCCAACCCTCGCACGTCTCCTCGGATCCCTAACAAGCAGCCGCGCCACGATCCTCCGTGCCCCTTCCGACCGCGCAAGAGTCGGTCCTACCAGCTCCTCGTCTTCCCCGTGTGTTCCTGCTACTGGCTCACCCTCACACTCAGGCCACTCATACTCCCCCCTCGCGATCCGCATCAACCACGCCCTCCGTGCCATCCTCCCCCGGCCCTCGCCCACCCTCCCCGCGCCAGCCCCAGCACCAACACCAACACCAACACCAATCCCAGTCCCAGTCCCGGCGCCAACGCCCTCCCCAAACGGCAATCTCCGCCCCACAAGCGCGTACAACACGACCCCACACGCCCAAGCGTCCGTCTCGCGCGCGTCGTACACGCCTTTCCTTTCTCGTTCTCTTTCGCTCCTGTTGGAGGTGCTGGAGGGAAGAGGCGGCGACGGCTCGTTTCTCGTCCGCCCGCCGCCGCCCATGACGAGCTCGGGCGCGGCGTAGGCTTCGCTGCCGCAGCGCGTGGAGAGTAGGGGGCCTTCGTCGTCTTCGTCATCTTCGTCTCGCCCGTCCTCAGCTCCCCCCTCGCGCCGCTGCGCCCTCCTCGCGCGTCTCCGCTCCTCTGCAGATCTGATATCAACAAACCTCGACAGACCAAAGTCAGTCAGTTTGACGAGCGGGGCGGGGGGTGCGGGGAGGTCTGCGAGTGTCGGTGCGGGTGCGTCGGGTGTGAGTGTGGTGAATATCGGAGTTGTAAGGAGGATATCTGGGTATGCAAGTCGGTGTGGTATCCAGGAAAAAAAAAGGAGAAAAGGGAACGCACTTTCGAGCTTGATGTCGCGGTGTACGAGACCGACGCTGTGCATCCACGCTACGGCGCGGCAGAGCTCGATCCAGAGCCTGCGGAGGACGCTTTCGCGCAGGCGGGGCCATGCAGCGTCGGCGTTGACGAGCTGGAGGAGGTCGCTGCCGGGGAGGAAGGGGAGGACGAGGAGGTGGTGGGAGGGCGTGGAGAAGTGGGTGAGGAGCGGCGTGATGTTTGGGTGCGCGATGTGCTTTTGACGGTTGGCCTCAGTGCGTCGTCGGAGAGAACAAGACAACTCACGCGCAGCACTTCGACTTCGCGCACGAACGCCACTCGCGTTCGTTCCTTCTCTTGCTCGAGCTCGTCGTCACGCACGCCCTCCCCGCCGCGCACCGTCATCTTCACCGCTACAAGCCGGCCTCTCGTGCTTGGTCTCGCGCCTGGGTCTCTTGCATCGTCGAAACAAGCTCTCGACAGGCTCGACGTGAGCACACCCATCTCGTCCGTCTCGAGTCGTATAGGCCTCGTCCCAGGCACACGTGCGCGGAGTTTCCTGAGGGACCCCGCGCGGCTCAGAGTCGGGGTGAGGGAGGCCTGGCGGCGCAGAGAGCGGAGGCTGCGGCGGGAGCGGAGGACGAGGGGGACGGGCGAGAGGTCGTCGGCGAGCCAGACGCTCGAAAATGCACCGTGCCCGAGCGGCTTGAGCAGACGGAGCGACGTGAGTGCAGAGGAGATCACGCTGCCTGCGCACGGCGAGCCCACTGCGGCCGCCGCCGCCGCCGGCTCGCGGTTCTGAGGCCGCGGCGTGCGTTCGTCGGCGCAATCAGACGTCGTCGTCGTCGTCGGCGGCGGCGGCGGCGGTGGCGATACGTCGATGGATGGGATCGCGAAAAAGGCATGCGTCTTGGTCGTCGTCGACGGCGGCGGCGGCGTGGGCGATGGAGGGCGCGTGGGGAACGGCGAGGCGAAGAAGGCGTGCGTCTTGGAGTTGGAGGCGGGGGGCGACGGCAGCGAAGACACGGAAAAGTCTGAGAAGGTCGACGAGGACGACGTGCTCAGGAACGAGAGCCACGACCGCGAGGAGCCCGTCGAGGACGAGATGGACGACGGCGGGGATGGCTGCAGCATTGTCGACGACGACGACGACGACGACGGCGATAAAGACTTGGAAATGGCAAAATTGTTCTGTCGGATCTCCGGGCCTGTTATTTTTCCCAATCTCCGCTGAGTTATTTATGCCACAAACGTGCGAAATCTGATTTCCACCCTCGTAAACGTGCGTTCATACTCGGGATTACATTTCTCCAATATCTATTACGATAGATATCGGTAATACCACAGGTAGATATCAGTAATACCATCCATGCACATTCCCTCAAGCAGCATCCGTTCCCACATAATCGAGCTCTTTCATCTTCTTTGCTAGTGTATCGGTTAGTACACGCGCCTGTCATAGCTAATCGTACGCGCGAAAGCTGGGTTCGACTCCCAGGCAAAGAGTATTTTCCATCTTTCTTTTTCCCGGTCAAATATACCAACTTGCCCCACTCATTCATTCAACACTCCGCTCTCCACACCAAGTCCGACTCCCACGCGAAAAAACAATTTATCCTCCTTCTTTATTGTTCAACAACCTTTTTGGCTACGACGTTCTTCGCGCTCCACATGCTTCCATACATATGATATTCTTTTACTCGGCGCCGACCATGGGACAGACTAAACGACACCCCGGAAATCCAACCCACTTTAACTTCTTTGCTAGTATATCGGTTAGTACACGCGCCTGTCATCACCGTCTTATCTTTGACCGCGCGAAAGCTGGGTTCGACTCCCAGGCAAAGAGGAGACAAGGTAAATTGTACGTCTTTTTTACTTGTTTTATTCAAGTCTGCGAAAGACTGCATGCATGATGTCTCCTTTCACCGTCTTTGCCATTATACTGCCTAGTACACTCGTTTGAATTCCAGGCAAAGAGTAAATACAATAAATATGCTTAGTAAGAAGGCTCTTGTCTCTTATCGATCTTATCTCTCAGCCTGCACAATTTCGTAACTACACTCTACTGACAACTCCATAACGCGCAAAAGCTGGGTTCAAGTTCAACTCACAGGCAAAGAATGGGCGGCAGGGCTCAGGCTGTATCCGGTGCGGGAGACTCGGTGATCACCCCAGAAACTCATCGATCTAAAAACCAAACCAAGATTTTAACCTAACCATTGCCAATAAGTACGAGAAACTTGAATCAATTGCAACGATCACGTGCTCACCTGTTGGAAGGAAAACGCGGAATGTCCTGCAAGAACAACCCATCTCGACGTTTCTTCCTCAGGTAAGGGTGAGAGATTGTATTGGAAGTGGACCCAACGATTATTCGGCTAGTCTAAAGCTAGTCTTTTCGTATTTTCGTCTACTTTTATTGGAATTGCGTTCATCGTCCAACAGTCATTGACCCCTAATATTCAACTCAACTCATTAATTTCAAAATGAAGGGACAAACTCAACTAATACCACTTCATTGCCTAGAAAAAAATGTATACAACTTCTTTGCTAGTATATCGGTTAGTACACGCGCCTGTCATCGTAGATCGTACTCCAATCCCGGACGCGCGAAAGCTGGGTTCGACTCCCAGGCAAAGAGTAGCTAAAAATCATATTCGCATAATTTTTTTTTTCTTTGAGTGTTCACCTTCGTGGCCTTTGCGTAGTCTTTGTTAGTATATCGGTTGTCAGTTCTTCTCGATGCTTCTGACGGACTTATAGACTTGTCCGCCATGGATGTTGTATCAGATTCTTTCCGGATCGTTCAGTATTACTTGATCTTGGATATTTCGTTGGTCGTCCATCTACACATCGCCATCAATGACCTTCAGTCACAGGGAACCGCAGTCGCGTTTGCTCAAAGGAGTTCAGAAACTGACTCAACATCATAGAGGGCATCGTCATACTCAAAAGACTCTCATCCATTCCAAAAATGAAAAAGAGTCGATGCACACAGCATAAAAGATGCAGAAAAATCATTGCAGCATCGCAAAGGTACTTTATCTATGTCTGTCTGTGTGACGGACAAGCTCCTGTCTTAATCAAGTTCTGATCAAAACGAGAACAACACAATATGCCTTTCACCCTGATCGCATCATTGACCGGCTGAACTATAGCCACAAATCCATCGCCCCCCTTAGGCGCGCTGTTAACACCATAACGCCGAGAGGTCAGGGGTATGAGTTCGTTCCCCTCATCCTTCCCAAACTCATACTTACACACCACGTTCCCAAACGCGCCGAGGAGCATTTTCAAAAGTACTCACCCGAACCAAACAGCCTCCGAATCTGTGTATCGGCGTCAGCTCGAGCTTGAAGTGAACCGAGGTTGTGCAATGGCTTGAGCTCGACTCGATACGTCTTATATATGTAGAGAAGGGGCCATATGTTACATCATCCAAAGTTTAAACTGACAAATCCACTTCCCAGGTCGAACGATCCATTCAGAAGAGATAATTTCAGGGCGCAGCCCACAGAGTATCATAGACCCCGGTTGTCTGATCGTTGTGCAGCAATAGTCATTTATGTATTAGGACTTGACAATCATTCCGGGGATCTTAAGCCTCGATCGTTCTCAACCACGAAACAGAGCCCCAGAATCGATCGAATCCATGGGATATCAAGACATCGGAACATAATGAACGAACGACACCCCGGAAGTTCAAATACATCCAATTTGTTTACTAGTATATTGGAGAATACACGCACCTGTCATTGACTTCCTATCTTCACCGCGTGAAAGCTGAGTTCGGCTCCCAGGCAAAGAGTAGCAGCAAAGCGTAATGGCACAATTCTTTCGAGTGTTTGCCTTCGTGGCCTTTCGTAGTCTTTAAGTGACGGCCAGATGTTGTTGGTTTGAATCAGTTGAGGATCCGATAGCGGGGCAACGCATTCCAGAGGCCATACCGACATTTTGGTTAATTGTGTCTATTGGGCGAACCTTTGGACGACATAACAAATGAGTGACGAATCAGTCACTCTAACCATCATAATCGACATAGTGAGGTCGTACACATCTTTGGATCTTACCTAGTCATTTCTCTAAATTCACTTGCAATCCTCAATAACGGCCGCATAAACAAGATTCCATAATAGACCTACTTAAAAAAAGATAAACTACGAAATGGGCAAGTGGGGTAGCATCAAAACCCCTGTGGGGAAAGCTTGCCACCACTGCGTTCGAAGTACAACCGATGTAATCAAAGCAACCAAGGCTTACGAGTAAGAGAAAACAAAGACAGACGATTGATGCAATGTTTCTGAGGCGCACTCAACCATACTGAGACCAAGTCAGTTCCTCGTCCATCGAACAAGAGGGCCTGCACTTACCTGATAGAAACGGCCCATCGATGTAATGTTTAGCAACGCAATGAAACCAATTTGGATCCCCGTCCATCGAAACGAAGACTTGCACTCACCTAAGGATCAAGCTGGCCAAGAGAGCACGAAGCTCTCGAAAGAAAGAAAAAATTATGCCAACACCGACAACCTGCGAGCGGGTACGGTCGAAGTCGAGCTTCGCCGACTCCGAGAGGGGATAGATTACATTACATACAAGTCCGTCTGGGACTTGTAAGACCGCGGTGGCAAAGGGTACACAGAGGCGTCAGGCCGCCAATGTGACTAGTCGGGCAGACACCGAACGGGTCCGCACCAACAATGACACAAGTATGGGTATTTCACCACACGTGCCAAACACCGCGAGTGCGGTCAAAGTCAAGCTTCGCCGACTCCAAGGGAAAGATTACATACAAGTCCGCCTGAGACTTGTATAACCGCGGTGGCGAAGAATGCGCAGAGAGAAGCGCCTAACGTGAACGTGAGCAGTATGTCGGGTCATCGATCTAGCCAACGCCCTAGCTCTCGCGATCGGGTCCACGTAATGTCGCGAAAACCAATCCAACCCATGCCAGTCGTGCAGTCGTCAGCCGCTCGGGTGGCATCATCCGCCATTCAGACTAAACACAGGAAGTCACGATTAGACGAAACTCTACGCACCTTCGAGCTGTGGACACCATTGCTACCGCCCCATTGGCGCGGTTACAAGAGGGTGGACTCAGCGATAGGACGTCCCGTAAAGCCACAAGGCTGCCAGCACCATCATGTCAGCCGGCGCTACTGCATCACGACTCAGAGGGCCGTCGCCAGCCGTTCCGAGCCGCTCTGCGTCCTTGGACAAAACGATGAACTGTTTGCAGCTGCAATTGCGCGAGACACTTGCAAGGCAGAGGGACGTCCCAAGAAGCCACAGGGCTGCCAGCACCGAAATGTCAGCCGGCGCTACTGCATCACGACTAAGAGGGGCCGTTGCTGGCCGATCAGAGTCGCAACGCGTCCTTGGACAAAACGATGAACTGTACGCAGCTGCAATTGCGCGAGACACTTGCAAGGCAGAGGTTTTATCAAGACGTCGATGTCCCCGCAGAGCCTCAACAGTGATCACTCCCCTGACACTTGCCATCATCACTCGTACGAATCAAAGGTCGTAGAGCTCCAGTAGTTACCGAAGGAAGTGGCTGATCGGCCAAGCAAAGATTGCGTCCTGTTTGAAGTGTGATTGTTTTTTTGTTTCCAATTCCCTGGCGATAATTGATACATTAGCGATTGCGAGAGATTATTAGCGTAAAGATACGTACTTCAATTTTTGTTTGTTTGATTATTTTTTTTTTCTGTGACAACAGCGGATCAGCGACTAGAACGAATCGTCGACATGAAGATACGTACCCTTGAGTTTTTTTGTCTTCCTCGGCCAACCAATTGTTTTTTCCTGAGATGAAGATTGATGAGCGACAGAAACAAGACCATGGGCATGAAGTTACGAACCTTGAGGTCTTTTTTATTTATCTTGATGATTATTTTTGTCTATGATAATGATTGTGAGCGATCAGAACAAAATCGTCAGCATGAAGTTACGAACCTTGAATTTTTTTTATATTTATCTTGATGATTATTTTTGTCTATGATAGTGGTTATGAGCGATCAGAACGAAATCGTCAGCATGAAGTTACGAACCTTGAATTCTTTTTATATTTATCTTGATGATTATTTTTGTCTATGATAGTGGTTATGAGCGATCAGAACGAAATCGTCGGCATGAAGTTACGAACCTTGAATTTTTTTTTAATTTATCTTGATGATTATTTTTGTCTATGATAGTGGTTATGAGCGATCAGAACGAAATCGTCGGCATGAAGTGACGCACCTTGCTTTTTTTTGTGATCAATTATATGATCACTGCTAACAGGCAATGAGCGAGATGAGCGACCGAAACGAAACCACTGGCACGAGGATAGGATACCTCATGCATCTTGGTTGGTTACTGATAACGACCATGAGGGATTGGAAAGGTGAAGAGAAATCGAAGGACTCACTTTGGTTGATCTGGTTATCAAAGCAAGTCAGGAAGGAGAAACGTAAATGAAACATGCCACATGAATCCTATGATGTGTCGTGGATCAGCGATACATATGGGGAACATATAAGAGTACACACCTCTCAATAATCATTCGCCGAGTTCCGATGCTGTCAATGTCGATGATAAGACCGGCGACAGCGAGATCGTACCCTGAAAAGGGACGAAGACATTCCTGATGGAAAGGTATGATTAGCAACGATGAAACGATATACCATCGTGAGGAGAAAGTGATATGTGGCAGAAGCGCGGCCCACAGACGTCGTACAGTAACCTGAAAGCATAGTGTGGCGCAGAAACCAAGAAGTGCTGCGACAATGCGCACAAGGCCACGCGATAAGCCACGAACTAGGACAGAACGTCGACGTACCAGTCTTTCTGTTGGACGATGTTCGTGTAAGTCTAAGGTAGCGGGCTACAAGAGATGTCACTCACGACTCGGACGCCGAAGTAAGAGTCGACGGAGGTCTGTTACTCTCGTCGAGTAGTGGTTGAAAGGTACGGCTTCTTGACGATGAAGTCAGTGAAGTCGACCATGGTGGTAGGGCAAAAGAAGTGCTGGGGCGAAAGGACGAAAATGCGAAGTCTTTTAAAGGCTACTGGTGGTCCATCCACGAGTCCACTTGTGCCACCCATCAAGATGATCACATGGACGGCTATCTTGATCGCGCCCACTCAAGTATTAACTCACAACAAGGTCCATTGTTCTTGATTGGTAGCTATGGTAGTCAATTGTTCTTGATTGTGTGTTTCGACACAAGATCAGAGTCAGCTCGGATTCACTGAAATGTTCAAAAACGCTACCTTAGGTGTTGAAGCTGTACGTCCTTTGCGCAGTCGCTTTAGGTGTTCATACCTCTCACTTCTATCGGCCGGCGCGGCCAGTGTGACGAGATAGCCAGGGCGTTTGTTACGAGTCCTGGCCTCGTGCGAGTCACGCGGTCAGGCTCTTGTGTATCTGTGGGCGTCGTTGATTGTTGTTCTGCTTGATTATTGATGGCGAAAGATGGGAAGGGCAAGGGGTGGGATGCATATATGATCATAAACGTGTTTCTGAGATATGATAGAAATACCTGAGTAAATATTGAAACTAGAAAAGGTGCAAGTAGGGGTAGCATCAAAACCTCGGTGAGGCAGGTCGAAAGTGCGTATATGTGTGTGTGTGCATACGTGCGGTGAGATGCGGAA